AGTTTCAATAAATCTATTGAACCTTCATACCAAAACAACGTCGCAGTAAATGGTTATTTTTGGATAACGAGGTCATCAACATAGAGGTAACTTAAGGCTTAGGCAAACATATCAGAATTGTGGTAGAGAGCAATTTCAAGTATACCGTGAGTGATAAATTTAGCTCAGTTTATTGCACATTGTTCGCGATTTAGGACCTCGGCATTCCAGATGATAAAGACATTTTACAGGCCTTTAATGCTTGTAATGTGATTTGTACATAGATTATTAAAAGCAGGTTTAGCTACTTAGATTTCATCTTCTGTTCTCGCAATTTTTCTTCTCTCTCACCATCTGTTTCAACTAACCGATTTATGGAGGATAAAGACAGCACAGATAACGCTGAAACGAGGCAAAAAAGTATGGTAAAGGGGCTCTCTTCTATCGTAATCTTAGCTGGCTGCTTCACGTTTCTACGGAGCAGAACTGTTCATTCAATTCATTAAGGCAAAAGGCCGGCCAACAGCAACGTCTATGGTCGGAGGGTTATCGCCTCCATTGATTATGGGCATAGTGGTTGAGGAGAAAAATAAAACAAAATAAAAATAAACAGAAAGGAAGGAAAAGAAAGGGAGGAAAAAAAGAAAGAGATGAGATGAATTTTTAAGAAAGTACGGCTGATTCGGATTCGGAGGAGAAAACTTTGAGCCATTTTCCATGTAAATGCGCTCCTCCAAACCCAGGACACACGGAGTAGAACGGAAGGAAAAAACGATATGGATGAGATTTTCCTTAAGAAAGTACAACTGATTCGAATTTTGTAGGCGATAATTTTGAAATGTTTTCCTGGTAAACATTTTCCTCCAGATCCAAGCAGAGTCCCTGGAAAGGTAAAATTATAATTTCATAACTTAAAGTGCAGGTGGAAAGACAGTAAAAGCATCCGGGAGCTAATCATCTATCTTCAGAGGTGGATCATTGTTCCAAAAGGAGCTCTTATGCTTACATGTATGTTCACAGCCATACCTATGCTTCAAAAGGCTGCCCTGACAAGTGCTTGAGCAAAGCGTGGATTTTTCAGAAAACGATACCTATTGCTCCATGCAGAATTCTTATGTTTATGTTAGCAGGTGTCACAATGATTTTCCATGCAGCTGCGGCAACATTTTTGTATACCTTGGCATGTTTTGCTAACTCCATGATACCCTTCCTTGCAGATATACGAAAACGTACCGATTCGACGTCCCAGTCGACTTTTGACCGACGCATTCGTTTACATCTGAGGATGAGAAGAAAAAGAAGATAAGCGACTTTATTGTCTCTGTTCATAAGCAGATGAAAAGTATTAAGTGCAAGAGCCGACGCAGATACCAAATAACACATAGGCGTCTCAAAATCTCGGATTTATGAAAATATCTCCGTAATCCGTGTATCGCACATGAGGTCTTCCAAAAGGTCAGTGTTGTTGACAAGCTGACGAACACGCAAACTAAAAATTTTTCAACATGACAGATCCGGAAAATGTCTGTTGATATAACATTATTACTTCCTCATAGGCATGATCAGCGCGATTGAATTCGTTCAATTGCTGTTGATTGACTTCGTCTGCAAAGGAACTTCGATGGGCCTATAATTGCAAACTGTACCAGTTTAAAGAACATGTCCTACTAGTGCAGTTGGTCTCGTGACAAAAGGAAAAAAAACAAACATATATCCAAAACTTAAGTAATCACTCATGGGTCACCGTTTGCTGTATTGAGATCATCAATTATTAGTCGATCCATATCTAAAAACTGACCTGGACTTGTGTCGCTGACACAAAAGACCATTTTCATTTATGACATAAAGCGTGTGCTTGCCCTATATAAGTCCTATCGAGCCGCTATGAACAAAATCTTTATTTAAGCACGCCCGTGCGTAAATAAGATGACGTGAGCATTTTTTTGAAAATTTCCTTCAGTCTGTCTTCTCCAATTGCACCGTGCACGGCAGCGTAAATATTATTTTGAACAATCAAAACCCTTGATAACTTCGGGTCTTTGACTTTTAAAACATTTTTTAGTGACACGAGTTCATTTAGCTTTGATTTTCTCCATTTTCTCCGTAAATTTTGAGCTTTCCATTCACAGTTATCGGTTACGGATGCGCCTCGAGCTACTCTCACGCATTTTTCGTGCTCTCCAAACTTCCCGCCTGCATCCATAACTCGATATACGCACGCTAAGCATGAACAAATTCTTAAACTTTCAAAGGGGTAAACTTTCACATCTTCGGAGTTTACGGGGTTGTTACAACCCCAAATCATATTTCACATCCACTATCAAATATAGTTTAGGTTGGTTGTTTTTTTTCGTGGTTCTAACCTTCGCAGTGCTTTCCTCTTCCAGCAAATCCTTCTTGACAATGACAATAAAAGCTTCCTGGCACATTGACGCAGGATGAGTTGCCATGGCAATCTTTGAATCCGTTCTCACATTCAGTAATGTCTGCAAAAGGCAGAGGAGAACGTAATCTACAAAAAAGCATCACATGACAGGGGATGTCATTTACACATATCATGTAACGAATGTTTCACAAAAGGCTTTACAGTTTGTATCAGTTTGTTCGAAACTATACGCTACATAACATTTATCGCAAAGTTCTCTAATTATTAATTGTTGGGTTTTTATGGCTCCTTCCAAGCGTGTTTGAATGTTCATTTATACTTTTCAAATAATAGATTCCATGGCTTTTTGGTGTGGGGGCCGATCGTGGATAAACCTGTACCACTGACACGAAAAGAAAAGACAGCACGTCAGAAAAAGTTAACTCACTGCTTTGTATTGGACTGAGGGGGCATAAACAGCTTTTCATGCATTAAAAATGATATTCAATTTCAGAGCTCTTCTGTTCAACAAATGAATGGCAAAGAACTAAAAAAATTACACGCACAAATTCTAGGGACTCCAGAGCCAAGAACAAGCCGTTGTGGACAAAATGAGACACCACCTATACTAAAAGAAGAAATAAAAGTTACGGTTAACTTATTGTTTTCTTCGACATTTTACATACCAGTTTTCCATTCCTTGGTTACAAGCACAACAAGTCGCGCTGTCCACCAGCATACACTTTCCATTTAGAGAGCGATCCTGGAAGCCCTTCGAGCACGTGTTTCCATCCTTGGTTGCACCATCAACCGACTCGGTATGTGCAGGTCATTCAGGAACATCGTGAGTATTTATCGAAACAGTCACGCGTCGAGCCTCGGACTTTTCTGTTGATGACGTCCTTAATTCCTTTGTTGCTCCAGAAGTTGGTGCTATCGCCTTGCCTCGTGCTGTAGTCACAAAATCCGCGGAATCTGATTGAAGCTCATCAAATTTTTGTTCGTAAGTTGAAAAATTGAAACAACCTGTTTCATCTGTCAATTCTTTGTTGAGCTCATCAGAAAATTTATTCGTGCTTTCAGCGTCGTAAGTTGTCTCAGTTCGCTTTTCCAGAAAAGTCAGCTGCCATAACTTCATGAGACTCTAACGGCTAACCTGTTACATTTTCTATTTCAAAAGCAATTGCATCGAAGCATATACTTTTTAAAAGAAAAAAATATCTCATAAATGAATGACAACACGTGAAGAGCATCAATGTGAAAATGGACATGGTGAATTAAATGACAGAAATAAAAAGTAGAGAAGAAGAGAGGGTAAAAAGGTGGCATTATTACATGGTTAAATAAGAACGCATGAGTCACAGCTGACCGGCCCTCTTTTAAGACGTTGCTGACGCTTGAAAAAAAAGAGTCGTTATTTCAAAAATTGACGACTCTTAAAGTCAGACTATTGTCGTTATAAGAAAATTGACAAGAATCCAACCCGTTCGCACCTTCTGATTAGGTCTAAATTTTGTCGCAGTCATAGATGCAATGCGAAACGTCTGACAGATTGTGAACAAGTTGCAACGAAACATCGAACAAAAGAATAAGGTGTGGTCGGACCCACTACATGAACTCGTGGACATTCTCTTGACACGAACTTCGTCGATTAAGCTACGTTAAGCGCTACCTGTCTCGTGGAATGTCGGAGAAATTTAAGATGTTCTTAAAGCATTAACGACTAAGTATTATTCTGATTTGTTTCCGGGAGTCAAACTAACCAGACCGTCCACTGAAACACACGAGAATGGATTCGGCAAGAAACGATGACGATCGCTGTTAAACGACAGTCCTTTAGAAATGCTGATTACGCTTGGTACGTGCGGCACATGTATTGACATGACAGGCTGTGATATTGGATGGTCAAATCTTTTACTAACCAATCAGGAGAAAAACAAACTTTGAACTCTCGATTTCATTTGCATAGTCGATTAAAATAGATATCAGATGTCGTACATTGTTGATAAATCTAAACGAAAGTCGATTGCCGGAAGAAAAACCGTTCAAAGATTCTTTTTTTTTTTTTTCCTTTTGCTACTTCTCTTATTATAATCTTTCCTAATTTTTACTCCTACATTATTATGCGAGCTCATCCAGAAAGTCATGTAACCTTCAAGTTCGAAATTCGACGAATCAAGCATGTCTTCTCATACACATGCTTATCAAATTGAGATGATAGGTAAGCGGCCGAACATAATCTTTCAACTCTTATAATTTGTTTGTGCTAATGGGAGGAGTACAAAAGCGTTTAACATCAATCAAACTTGTCAGTACCTTTACAAACCCAAAAATTAACCCACTATTCATTTCTTTCGTTTGTTCGGCAAATCATTAATTCTCTGTTGCTTGGATGATATTTTATATATACGATACACTTCGCTTTTTCGATTAGTTTTTTCACTCGCATCAACTTTATTACCGTCATCATTCATGAATAGTATTCATGGATGAATCCGATTTTTCATAAAAGGCAAGGAGTTGTAGTAGTAAGTACTACACGCCCCTACGTGTTATTTTAGCCAATACAATCTCTGAAGTACTCTCAGAGATTGAGGTCTCTCGACAGTTTGTGAACACTAATAACATTACAGTGAAACGAGGCTGTTAAGCCGGTTCAGTATTCAGAGATAATTTGACCCCAGGAACATTCGTTCTATGAAACAAACAAGTAACATTATCATAACTTAATGAAACCAAAAAAAAATTATTATCGACACACATAATCCCACAAAACAGTATTTGGAATACAGAGCATTACTCGTCCTTCCATGCTGCATTCGCAAGTGTACACGTAGATGTAAGTCTTACGTGTCGCAAAAGACGTTTGGCCTAAGTTATTCGAAAGTGGAAGAACGTTAACCAGTGGATAAATCCCTGTCCGGTGAAAAGCGTGGTACGTTTTTTTAACACTTATCAACTGGACTTATATTCACACGTTGGATAGCCTCATCTGCTGTTTGAACAACTGAACCCTCAACTTTCATCTACACTAACACTGATGCCGGAGTAATCTCACCTCTCTCGCAGATGAACGACTGTCTTTCCTCACAATCTCTTACTTCCCACGAGTGGAAAATGTCCTCGGAAAGTAGAGTTACACAATCCCTGCCTGTAACCGAGGCATCTTTAGGCTCCCGCTTAGCCCAGTTTGTAAACTCAGATTTGGTACCATCACTCCAGAAAAACTCGCCCCGGTTCCGTTTCAGACCAATCCAGACGCGAGCTTCTGGTCTGGCAACTTGTTCGGCTATAAATCCGTTTTCTGTGACGCTCCTGGATAAGGCCAAGTGCGAGTCCATTTCACGACAAGTTCCGTTTGCTTCTTGCCAAGTCTTTCCGTTAACATAAGGTAAATAACAAGATCCCTTGTGTCCTATCCAACCTTGTGGACATGATCCTGAAAAAACGAAAAAAAAATAGGAATGATTTTAATTTAATCAGCACAATGGGTCCCAATAGTTCATTTTACAGTTGTGTGCTTGGTTGCCAAGCCTTTGAACAGGAGTGAAGCTATGGGTGACCTTTTTATGATACAAACCTTGCTGCTTTTCAAATGTAAATTACTTTGTTGTCATGCTAACTAGATACTGGTCTCTATCACAACATAGTCAACTTCAGCCTCACTCAAATCAAAGGCTTAGCGACTAAGTACACGACTGTAAAATGGCCTATTTTTCAACTTAAAAAGTATACCGACTGCAAGTATATAACCACATCGGAAACAAACAATTATAGCTTTTTTCATTAAAAGTGACACTTTTGAAAGGATAAACTTAAACCCTTTGACTCCCAGAAGTGATTAGCATGTAATTTCTCCCCACCATATCTATACATTTTCCTGCATACAGGTAAGGAGAAGACTCAAAATTATCAGGCGGAAGTAATTACCTTGATCTAACACCAAATTCTCAGAACTAATTCTGAGGAAAGCTAGAGGGGAGAATTAACAGTCAGATCTTAGGAGTTAAAGGGTTCATCAACAGATTCAATAAATGTTTCCAAAGGATTGGTGGAGTTACCAGGAATATCATTTCTTCCCGTGGAAAAAACGTTTTTTGACTGTCAATCAATTCCAGTGTCGAACAATTATACCCGGCGAAAGCCCCAAATGTTAAAACGGTTGTCTCGTCTGAAAGCCGTTACGATTCGCTCCAAGTATTTAAAGTTTTTAACTGGCATTTGGAACTTCGCTTTTCATCACCCTTTAAATCCGTTCGGTAATAAGCCATGACTCAAGCTGTTTTTGTTTCTTACGCTGCGTGTTTAATAACGTTAAAATCAACTCTATAACCTGGGATATCGAAGAATTCGTCAAGCTGCCTTGCTTTCCTCGGAGCTGTAGTCTGCCCTAAGAGAAAAAAATATGCGTTAGAAAAAAAAAAAGCTGCAAAGTTAAAGAAAACTGGATGAGGTGCGTAAGTAAATTATCTCTTATCTTTAATTTGGGTAATACTACTATGCTGCATCGTGTTAGAATAATGCATTCCACTGCAGAAGGCTCTTTCATGCTTACACGATTACAATTGCACCAAAGCTAATCTTTCGAAATCCTCTTCTTGTAAGGAGACACCGGTTCCTAGGACCCATGTAAGAGCTTTACGTTTTCAATCTGCATCTAGTAAATGACAATGTTAACAAGACAGTCGCCAAGGTTTCCACCCGTGAGAAGTATCCGACGGTGATTGAGTGCCAAATAATGTCTACTTATCTGTTTATCTCGATGTGGCTTAGTCTTTGCATGGATGTATATCTCTATCATATATCCTTGTTAGCTTTATCAATAATCAAAGCTAATAAAGCTATGGCGGTATATGCTTGATTATACTATTAAATTAATGCACCAAGATAGCTTACACAAGTCTGCTTTGATGCGATAAGAAACGAGGTTTTAAAACCGCAAAGGCTGCAGAAGTGACAATTTTTCTGGTATTTCTTTGCGCAGATCGCGCTGTCAAATAAAACAAAGGATAAAAAAGACCATTTTGAGGACATGCACGGGTAATTGAATCTGCTTCCATAGAAAATTGCACTAACACGCAAGGACCCGCCCTTTGATTAACAGACTTCACTTGAAGCCTAATTGTGTATTTGGGTCAGAAATATACCAGTAGAAATGAAACTCGAATAATTTGCCTCATTTTGCCATAATTACCCTTTCTCTACAGTCAGAGTAGTTACTAACAAGTTCCGATTACAGTTAACCCTTTAGCTCCCATGAGTGACCAAGAGAGAATTTCTCCTTACAATATCAATACAATAGCACGCATAGAAGTGATGAGAATGAAGTAAAATATCAATTAGGGGATTATTAGTTGTTCCAATGCCAAATTCTCCAAATTTACATCATAAGAATCGTATGGTAGATAGTAAGGAGAATTACTAATGAGATCTTGGGAGTTAAAGAGTTAAGTGTTCTACGCGCGATTAACTCTCACTTTAGCACTTTCTTGGTCAACGATATTTTAAGTATTCAACCCTTTACACCCTAACATCAGTATGCATATTCTCCATACTGTTCTCTATACATTTCCTAAGGTCTGACAAGGAGAATTTTTGTTATAATCACTGAAGAGTTTCTTTAGTTGGTGATCATTTCTTGACATTAATGTGTGATTCAGTGGCGATATTGTAAGGAGAAATTAGATGCTAGTCACTCTTGAGGGTTAAAGGATCGATACCATCCCAAAAGAAAATTTAGCCTCTGTTATCCACAAACAGGCTGGGCTGATGATATCTTCTATATAAGTAAGAAAAAAAAAAGACTTTTCACATGTTTTTGGTCACAGTTCGTTTGTACCACACGATGACTATCCGAAAACACAAAACACAGTTTACTGAATGGTGACAAAAGTTTTGTCTTCAGTCATCGCCCTAAGCAACTTCGGAAAATAATTCAATCCCACCAAAACAGGAGACGGTGATATGATGCAGAAAACACATGAACAGTTCACAGTTAGTTTTATCTTTCTTGGACAGCAATTAACCCGAAATTTACCCTCACATTCCAAAGAGTTACTTCATCCCCTGTATTTAACCTTTCGAGAAATTTCTTTGTTGGTAATTCTAGCCATTAGTTGACAGCTCAATGACATTCACTAAAAGCAATAGAGTCTCTCTTTCTTCACAAATGTCAGCACCAAATTTTAAGTACTTTTACGATGTTCCCTTGTGAGGTTTAAATCACGATGGCTTTACCAGTAATTTATGAGGAGTTTTTCTTTTTTTCACAACAGTTCTAATCTGTACTCGACGCTAACTCGTCCTATCTTAACTTTTTTAAAAACCTTTTGAAAAACCATCATCTATTTAACACGTAATTCAAGGTTCCATTGGAGGCAGTCAGAGAGGTGGAGTGACTGAAACGTAGAAAAAAACCGATAAAAGGGAAAGATCAATCATCAGCCTTCGGATCAATAATTTAAAGTTTCTTGGTGTGTCCTCTGTCTGGATCAATGATTTAAAGTTTCTTGGTGTGTCCTCTGTCGGGAAAACTTGATGGCAAACCTGTCTGCTTACGCACCGACGTGGATAAGACCCACGAAAATCTCAAAAGCTACATCGCAAACTCTAACAAACGAAGAGTTTATTGGAAGTAAAAGGTGTCGGATAAATTGATGTAATATGTCAGAGCTTTCCTCTATAAATCCTGATGTGACAATCCTTGTGTCATGAGTTTAGCTCGGGTTAAGACCTCAGTTAGCCGTTTATTTAACTTTCACTTATCTTTCTCGCCACAACAAATTAATTAATTTTAACCTCGCGTTGCCTGACCAAGTACCATTTTAATTTTTCCAGCCTTCGATGCAATTTCAGAAACAAAGCAGACAAAAAAGATAACCTAATTCATTCTCGGTGTGTCGTCAAACCAGACTTTCCTACTGCTTGGTTCAAAGAAACCCCACGAGGTTTGGCACAGAAATCAATGGCTAGCCTTATAATCCAATAACGAGGATGTCTATGACTAAGAAATCTCACCAACATAATGTCTTTGATAATCGCGACAGAGTTTTAAAACAGAAAGACGCTAATGAGTTAGCGGCAATGACACCCCTATTATTATTTATCATAACATCCCTGTGCTTTTTCTGTTTTTATTGTTCAAGTTATGGAGTGAAAGCTTTCAAACCGTGCTGCAAAGTTATTTTGATAAATAAGTGCCAGGAAACGGCGGATAACGCGGTTCTCAAGCACTTTAAATTGCGGAACTACATGACCGCAGAATGCTAATAAGGGCATCCGGCTACACAGCCCAAATTCCTTCAAGAATTAACTAAAATCAACGTCTCAAATAATTCCATTTTGCAGAATGACAATTCACTCTAAACATATCATAGCAAGGATTAGGCGAACATCAAGAGACACGGCACGTCCTTGAAAAGGCAATTAAAGTAAAGCAACATTGCTGCAACCTTACGGTGGACATGGCGAAATAAAATGTCGAGAGGTTTAACCAAACTGCATTTTTTAATTGATTATTCTTCTTTCACACTGTCTAGAACGGTTGCACACTGATGTTGTCCTCAGCATCTAAGTTTCATTTAAAACGAGATAAACAAACACACCGCCCATCGGTCTGGATCTCGTTGATCTGCGCGGCGCAAGACTCTACAATTTTTACGTTACCAACTGAGAAAAGGTCATATCAACATATCAAACCTTGATCTGACCGGATAAAATCTGATAGATGTGAAGATAGAAAAATAACTTTACAAATTCCTTTAAAACTTTAAATTCTTACAACAAATGGCTATACCACAATCAATCAAAGGTAAAGTTAAGAAAAATAATAGAAAACAATACGATAGGATTTTTCTTCACACCATCGCAAAATTGCGAATGCAATTTAATTAAATTAGCTTTAAGTTTTTTTCCAACATTTATTGGCATGTTGATGGTAAATTTCTTCATTAAAATTTATATTTCAATTTTAAAATTGAACTTCAATGGCGTAACATTACAAAGAATAAAACCAAGGTCTGAAGAACATCGCATGATAACGAAGTGATGAATTTGCAGTCGTAACCAGCTGGAAAAATCCAGCGCAACCAGAAAATATGAGTGTTACCGGGAGCGATCAAATTGGCTGAGAACCTGTTTAAGGTAGCAATGCATGATGTTTACTGATTCTTCCGCTACTGAATGCCAAGGGATGAGTTTAGCCACTCAACCCACTATTTCCCTTCGCAAAACAGGCATCTAAGACAATTCACATGTCAATCGTAACAGAGGGGGCTCCAGAATATCAAACACATGGCCACAATACGCAATTTCCATCTTTTACGTAAAATCACATTAGTGTGTTTAGTGGGTGGTTTCAGGTTTGCACAGGTCTCATCCGATCTGTGCGGTATACGCGAACATATTGCGATAAGAATTTTTGACCGAGCCCAACACGAAATAATATTGTTTCTTGCCCGTCTGCTGCCACCAGATATATCTTTCCGGGTTAAGTTAAACTCGCTATTGAACAAGTGGACAAGAGCAAGAGAAAAATCGAAAAAAAGGCAAGTGGCATGTGGCAAGTGGCAAGTGGTGGCCAGCAGTATTAGTTGTGTGACACTCACTCGCAGTGGGAAGGGGTCAGAGCCCACCTATGTACATGAATACACATGGTTTCGTAACCGAAAAAATGCTGATATCAGTTTTTCTGATCATATATAAAAAAGGTCATTATTAGAGACTCCATTTATGACTTGGGCTTGAGTCAATACTCTCGTGTAAAGGTTTTAAATCATCTTTATCTTCTCAAACCTGAGAACAAAAACGAGACAGCTAGATCGAATCTAAACATTAAATGTTGTGCAGTTATTATTTTCAAGATGATCAGCTATTGAAAGTGTCTATTTCGGTTTAATCAGAGGAGAGCTTTACTGTTGCACTGTCAACAGCAAATGGAAGGAGCTTGCAGATAACTGTTGTAACGAGTAGATGATGACCTAAAGAATGAGTAGAATTTGCGGTCTATATGATAGCCATCGATGCGAGGTGCCACGTCCTTTATTATAGCTCATGTTTGAGATAAGAATGAGATAAAGCCTCTTTTCACGTTGGTGAGTTTACATTATGGCAGTTTGTAGTCCTCTTTTCTAATAACCAAATCGGTTCTAAGGATGGTGCATGGCTTGAAAACAAGTAAAAAGGGTAGTGCAAAAACAGATTAAACAGCAATTAACTGCCGAGTTTTCATCAATGTCTGGATTTGCGTTATGTCGTTCACGAGAGGTCAAAGGAGCACGGATTCGAAGAAAATATGCCACGGGAGCGGCAGCGCTCGAGAAAAAGCAGTGAGTGGTATCTTTATAATGCTGTAATTTAAGGTATGCTGAAAAAAAGGCCTTAAATTCTTTGGTTTAATCTCGCTTAGGCGACACCAAACTTCTGTTGTTAAAGATAAAGCGAATGACTAATTTTAAATGAAGTAACCTTGACACAATGCCTCTTACACATGTGTTTGGCAAAAGCCGCGGAATAGAAATCGGAGATCCTTGTTTCAGAGTGAACTATGCCTGAGAAACAACAAGAGTCGACTTATCAATCGCCTAATAAGCATCTGTGTTGCGATTTAGCGTTTCACGGATCAACGATAAAGCAGGAACGACATTAGTAAAATGTTTCTTCGGTTTCCTTACCTTCGTTCGCTGTAATTAACAGAAGGCCTCCAACCAACAGCTGATAGCACAGAAAGTTCATTCCGTACCAGCGAGAAACTCGCAAGAGGCGACTCTGTCCACTCCTATCGAAGGAATATCGCAAAAACAAGAAGCATTAGTCTCTAAATGCTTCCAAAAATTAACATTTGAATCACTAAATGGTTTATGTTTCAACCATAGTTGATGTTTACACTTACTAGAATGTCAATCTTCTCTCGCGTTGAGAGCGGCAAAAGAAACTTACACACGTTTCGAGTTGCAGATACCTCCAGGGGGTCAGCATGAGTAACGCATTAATTTTCAAGGTTGATCCTTATCCGGTTTCTCTCAACGAGTTCTAAACAATGACCTTGAATCACTAAGGAGAATATACAGTTCTAGATGTAGTGTGAAATTCTCATCATGTAAAAAATAACAAAGTTCAGCATTGTTTACTTCTAATTTCCTCCAGACTTATTTTTGAGCCAAGTTATCAACAGTTTAATTTCATCCAGACACTTTGCCTGCCTTGAGATCTTTAGTCCAGTGATGAAAGAGATATATACTACTTTTCCATGTTTGATAGGCCCAAGAAATTTAGTGGAGTCACCAAGGAATATTAGGAAGAAATTCCTTAGGAGATATTGCTCGTGATGAAATGGAGTATTGATTATTTTTGTGATCCGGTTTATATGCTATTTATCGAACAGAGGTCAGCGAGAAAAAATTCAAATACGGTGGGGAGTGTCCGTTACGTAAGCAATATCATGTTTGTCAATACCTCTTTGTCATTAGCGGATTGCAGCCACATAAACTCGTATCGGTTTTCAAAACATATCTTGAACGATCTGTGCACCAAACTAACAAATTTAATTCCAATTGAAAGTAAGTCCTTCACAACTAATCGCTAAATGGTCTATACGCTATAGAAAGGCATATTTTCATCCATATTCAGACATTTCTTTTTGGCCTGCAACCAGCAAAGAAAAACATTTTCCGGTAACGACTTGCCACCTTTCACTTCCGGAAATTTCCAAATATTCGGCAGGTATCATGAAGGGGTTACTCATCACCCAATCAACCCCTTTTTAATTTTATCATAGTTCGTTTTCTGTCTGATTGTGCAATCTATTGGCCACTTGGGATAACATAAATTCATTGTAAATGTGCATGTCTAGACATGGTTTGATGCTACTCTGGTTTACAGATTTAATCAGGGTCGGCCAGGGGGGGTAGTGGAATACCAATATACCCGAAAAAAAATCGACAAAATACCCCAAAATACCCCAAATTCCTCCATACCCAAAAATAATAAGCTTTGAAATATGACCGAAAGAAGTGAAACAAACACTTAATTTACCTTTTTGGCATTCCTTCAAATGGATTGTCATTACTTTTCCACGATAACAGATCACAAGAAAAGGCCACATGTCAGTTTAACTTTCGCCTAGCGAATTGTTCGAAGTCACGCAACAATTGTTGCCTGATCTTATTTTCATTTGTCACGGGTGTTTCAATAAATTTAAGCCCTTTTGCTAACACGCTGACTTGGTGATCAGTTAATGTATTGTCTGAAAGGTTTTAAGGTCCTTTTTAGTATGAGTGTATTTTTTCTACGTCATGTACACGTCTCCGTTGTATCCTTTTGTTCCTTTTTAATGTTTTTCTTGTATAAACATGAACCTACCAACGAGGATTTAGGCTATCTAATCACTGTCTAATCAAAAGAACGAAACAATGAGGAAAGGTAGATATACTTTATACCTGAAATTCAAATACTGAATACCCATAGATTTGATTTCCACCCCTGAATACCGAATACACAAAAACCCTTGACCCTGTTTAATGAATATGAACAATTTAGATAACGTTTCTCCTGTCTAGTCTGATCTTTGCAACAAGAAGTCGATATAACTATTGGAGAAGCAAACTACTATGTCTGATCGTACATGGTTGGTGAACTTTAAAGATGTCAGACTAATTAAATTTAATTGGTGCAAAGATCAGACTAATTAAATTTGAAAACCTTTTTTTTTATTTTTAGAATGGCATCCCCGTCCCTTTCCGGTTTCAGCTAAAGGAACCCAGAGAGAATTGGCGGGAAAAAGCCAAAAAAGGAATCTTATTCATTTATAGGTTGAGAAAACAGTCTTTCGTGTCAAGTTTTGTCTCCTTCGCTGAGAAAACATACAGCCGAAAATGGCGCAAGCTACCTGATTGCAATCCATCCTGGTTTGGCTTCCTGCAGAAATAACTCTTAGAGCGACTAAAGTGACCTCTCAAGTCTTTCCTGCGTAACATACAAATTACGTTACATCTATTCACCAACCACGCCGTTCCAGCACATGACCTTTCTTTTTCTCCAACGAAAATCTAATGGTAAGCTGTTCTGTAGTCTGATATTGCCTATGAGCGATCACTTGGACCGGGTTTTGATTATTTTAAAAAGTAATTAATCTCTATCAATAGTCCCGTGAGAATTGACTGGTTGTACTGTACTTCACGTTATCATTGGTCTACAAAATTTGCGCCATTCTCTCAGTTTTTCATGTTCCACACTAAAGTTTCAAATCATGACTTGGTCAGCGGCGGTCACGTTTTTTATGTATTTTTCTAATTCCCTTAAATTTGTTCCTATCATTTTATTCACCAGTTTTGTCTTTGCGACACATAATCGCCAAAGCGTTCTGAAGATATCTACTCCCTAGAGAAGGAAGTTTTCCGTCTTGTCACGAAGAAAAAATTCTGAGTTTCCATGAGGAATCGAACCTCAGACCTTCATATTCCGCGTTTCGATAAAAAAAAAAAAAAAAAAATTGCCATCTCTCTTATTCTATTTATCTACTCCTTGTCTGAAAATAAAAAAAAAAAAAAAACCCTAAGAAACGCGTGTGTAGCTTGTTGAGGTTCATGCAAAGTCCTTGTTTGCTAGGGTTGTGTAAGAAACGTGTTTTCGATAACTGTTTTTAATTGTTTTCGAATGCGTTCTACCTGAAAGAGCTGCTGAAATAATTCCCTGATCTTCAGTATTATCACCGATTTCAAAGGACAGAAAGAGTCCACAGGCTGTGGGATTTGGTATCCCGGCTGAAAGATTGCGATAAATCGTGGGCGTAATAGTAAGATCACGAAGGAGCATCTACACCTGTCACAGATGTAGATGCTCCTTAACAGACCTCCTTGGATTCAACAACAAAAGCGAGACGTTTCTCTTTAAATAAATACCTTTAAAATTAGCCTCCTGGAGACTACAAAGATGTTTTGTAAAGGCCTAGACAGAAACTTGCTTCTTTACATTGGAAACTAAATTATTTATCTAAAAAAAATCAGTGATTAGTAACAGAGATGGAACAAAAACAAAATTCTGAATTAAATTCTGGTTAATAACCTCGCAAGTTTGCTGAACACAAGAGATCGTAAAGCCATCGTTGCCAGGTGAAAACAGACAATCTTGATCTTTGAACCACAAGCAGTCTCGTCTGTCATCACGAAAGGTTTAGATTTGACCTTTTAGACAAAAACGCTTTATATATGTAAGATTAATCTGTTAAACAAGACAGATGTTTGCAAAATCGTAAGACGTATATTTGTGCAAACATTTTTCCATTAACATTTTCGTGGCATTAAACCGCGAGTAGTTCATACAACGATTAGGGACCTGTAAAATTAAACTCAGGTACATGTATCTCGAATTTTCTTGCCATTTTGTCCAATAAAAACTTTGACCTGTGACACTAGGCGAACAAGGTCTCTTGCGCTCCTTACATCAGCAGGAAACAGCCAAGCGTGCTGTACACTGTCTGTTAAATAACTTGCAATAACTACAATATGATACACAAAACTGAAAAGAAAATTTTTTACTCCAAGCGCAAGTCATAACGATTAAAGTATCCATTCAGCTCAGATATGTACTGTGGATTTTTTGGGTGACAACCGCGTGAAAGACATAAAATCTATCTAGTATGGAGGATGACCTTATTTTGTTTTCAAACTGTTCATCTCACCTCCGTCAGTTTAGCAAAATTACTTTTAAATTGCTTTTTTTCAGCCTTGTTACCACCCGATTCAGATCAGAAGATGATTCCTTTAGCAGCTGGCCGTCTTGTGCACTTTTTTACACTCAGCTGAGTGCACGGAATTCGAAGGTACAAACAGAAAAATAGCAGCCTCTCTCATGAATTATCAAGTGATCTCAATTCGATTGGGAATACTGAAATAGACATGAAACCGTCTTTTATGCCAAGGGGGAGAACCATTCAGATATCTGCGAATCGTAGCCAGGAATGTTTAAGGAAATCCAGGATTGAATTGTTTTGTTTTTAATTCGCCGAAGAGGCTCTGTAACTGGTTTAAAAACAATCTTGCACTGCTTCAAGAAATCAATCAAGCGCAAAACCAAAACCAACCCCCGTCTTTTTCCGGCTCGCGTTTTCCCGCGCAGTGTGTTTGCTGCATGTTACTTTGAGGGGGACATGGGGGTTTGGGTTTGCGGTGTTGACTCTTTTTTTGATGCGGTATTGTGGTGAAGAACAATTGGTATCATGGTGTTGCGATAATCTCAAAGCTTACGGTGTACGATGTTTGTAGCTTCAAATCGACAGTGTTCGGTGAAATAAACCATTTCTGGTATTGCAGTTTATCCTTCAACGACGACCATGGCAAAGCATGGCACTCTCCCTGAGTTTATATGCCAACCACAGTTATTGCTAAACCAATGAATGACAGCGGACCACCCGGTTCTTTATAAGATGAAGCACAACTAGTCGACATCATCGTTGACCACATAGATAGACAAACGATAAACTTAGCTGCTATAGTGTTAGTCCCCACGATGACTAACTGTATAAAATTTTTTATGAAATAGAAAATGGATTTGAAACAAAAAAAACTAGACAAAGGAAGTCGTGAGATTAAAGGAAGCAAACTGTGAACTTCACTTTTTGCGGGAATATGTTATAACTTCAAAGGACGGAAGACTGACCCAACGGAAACACTGTCGTATCACTTGGTAACAGTAACTTCTTTGGCTCATCTTAGTGTCGCCTACACTTCATTCATAATCAAGTGTAGGCGACAGCAAGGAATTTTACATGCGGAGCCAGAAGGCGGTAGGATTGTCTTGTGATGTGTTTCTTGTGTTTGAAAAGTAGAAGTAACGGTAATTACGTTTTAAAAAAAAAAAAAAAAAAAAAAAAACATTTAGACCAAGTAAATCTTGCGGTGTCGGCGTGTTGATAATATTTCTTGCGGTGATGCGGTGTTTGTTCTATTTTGTTTGTGGTGTTGCGGTATTCAGAAACCCCCATGTCCCCCTCTACTTTGAATTCTCACTGGCTACCTCCAACGTTTTCCTTAATTGTGATTGGCTCTTGTTATTACTCTGATCTTGCTTCTATAGTGCTCGATAGAAAAGCGCTCTAAAACGACCTGGTCTTGTCCAAAACTCTACAAGTTCTACGTCGTAGAACATCTCCTCCTTCCCCCCCCATTAATTGTATTGAAACCATTAATCCGCAAATACTCATGGTTTCCGTTACAGGGTTTAGAAAGCCGTGACTTAACAACTACAACTTAAATTGGACTGAAGCAAATATTTCACAAATAACAATAAAACAAGGTGCTTAATTTTGCGGGCACTCCTCGATATTCATAACACAGGGACCGCGCAGCAAGTTTTCGAGTGGGGGGGCTAAAGAAGAATGCGTGAAGGAAAATTTTTTTGTTAAATTATTTTTTGTTTAAGTTATTTTTATTCTTGCAAAAAAGTGGGGGGGCTAAAGTCCCCCCAGCCCCTCCCTCTGCGCGGTCCCTGTAACAGTTTACTGCATTATGGTATTTCATAATGCTACACTCACAGTCCCCCTTCACGTAACTTAAGGGAATAATGGATTCAAAAGTGTTTTGTAGACCCATCTTGAGTTGTATTGTTTTGGTGTCTATAAAATCATGAATACTAATCGTGTCCCGGTGATAAATATTTTTGAAGATAGTGAATCATTCTTACATAAGAATGACATAACTGTAATCATTTGACTTTTCACAGACAATTTCCTTTACATTGCACCAAAATAAATAACACTGGAAGTATTTAGAGGCCTTTCATGGATCAAAATTCTCTGAAACCTTGGTTTCCCGAGGGACGCGTTAGACATGCATCACTGCGGACCGAGGGCCCAAAATTTGCAAGTTCCAGAAGGTCAGTCGGTATTCAAGCGTCACTTCGTTTTATTTCATGGAGATGTGAACGCAACTTCGAGCGTTTCAACATGTGCCTTTGCCCAGAGGAATTTGCTTTCCGTCGTCTCAAATTGAGTCATCCTTATGCAAGTGCGTTTGCGACATCGCCGGTGAGTACCTCGATTTTTTAAGGCAAGGAACATTTCCCTTTTAGATTCACGATCTGATCAAAGACAGATTACTTTAGGGTCTTTCATTTGTTCCTTGCACGGATCATGTTTATCAAAGATTGTTTAAAGAATTTCTGAAAATGAAGAGAAGTTTAGTTTTCTTCCCACAATGAATGAAAGTCCTTGTAAATGGCAAAGAGCACTGAATTCTTTGTAAATCAAGCCTTTATCTGCCAGTGAATTCATTATATAGAAAGCATAAATAAGACGTGAGTTACTGGATCACGAATTTTGTCAAGCCATTTATGAAACTGACATTTGTAACAAATGCATTCTCTTAAAATTGGTGAGAGACCCCCATTTCACGAAAAGTAAAAGATCGTTGTGGTTCTGTAATGGCGCCAAAATCTTTGGATCAACGTTTACTGTTCGTGGGAAGAGTAATAATTATGCGGTGGCGCGCTTCGACAGTCGCCCTTCAAGGGATTTTAGTCAGTTATCAATATAGTCAAATACTTTCTAGAAATACTGCGATAACAGGTATGTTAAGTCCATTAAAACTTCGTGTTCATAAAACTGACGGTATCAAAAGATTACATTACGAACAAAATCGGTTAAAATCTTTACCTTTTTAAAAAATTACCTTGTATGATTTTCATTCGCTTAAATGATGCTACTTGATCTAATTATTAAAACACGGTTTCCGCGCACGAACTTAAGGTTCCATAGCCAACAGCGTAATTATCTTTCAACTTGAAAAAAGTTACACAGCAGCAGAAGTTTCATGGAGTCCCGCAGGACCTCAGGAGAGTTACATCATGGGAATGGAGCCTCTTTGAGCTCCCACTAATTCGCAATTATCTGTAAAATAAACAAATATTGACTAAAATATTTTATGCGACGCTAACAACTTGCACAGCCGAAAACTGTTTTAAATTATCACACTTGGTAGACTTCATGAATCAGATACTCATTGCTCTTATAAGGTACGTTCACCATATGCAGTTTAATGAGATTAAGAGCGAACAAGACTTTCTGATTGTTTAACAAATGTATTTGAAACACACCACAGAAGATTGTTATAATTATTCATAACCGTTTATCAGTTCTGCTTATATTTATATTTCATCAAATTAGGAATTTTAAAATTACTCCTAAGACAATAACAAGAGAAGGTAACTGATGCTGAGAAGCACTATAAAAATTTTCGTTCATAAATGACTTCGGTCGCGAAACAGTATTGACATACGATTGTTTTCATAACAAAAACCTCGCTTTACTCGCGACAAAAAATATCGGGCTCTAGTAGTTTCAGATTGTATTGGTATGGCCCGCGCAGAAATCGCAATCACTCAACGGTGCAAAACGTGTATTTCGTGCCAAGTACATGTGGTGCCTAAAATCGAAGATAGCGCATGTGAATGTGCTGGTCGTTTAGAACCTGTATGTTCTAAAATCCTACGATAAAAAAATTAATATCGTCATTTTTTCTAGCATGGAAAACCAACGACCTTTCCTTCGAATTGTGAGCGAAGAATAAGTATCCATGACCCGTAAGGACCCGTGCGCGCAATCACATAGAACCTAGTGGAAATACAGTTCAGAAACATACGTTAATGATCCAGTGCATCTTAATAACACGACCCAACACTAACTGCCGATCAACAATTCACATTCTCTTTCAACCAAGTGCCTTTCCCAGGCGAACTTTTTACCCAGGATGTGTAAAGAATACACGTATGCTTCAGGAACCACATAATTTTCATCTCCCCTTTAAAAATTTTGAACGAAAATTTGCTTCTCACCGCGGTTTTGAGTCTTGATGTGAAATCTAACAGCTCGAAATTGTTTTCAAATGGGCAACTGAAAAATTTGACCATGGACGCCGTTATATTTAAATAAATCAGTGCACCTGCCTTCTACGCAAAACTACAACGCGCGGTCATTATACAAGGGAAGCATACCTGCCTGTGTAGCATGCAGTTTGTTTTAAGGAAAGGTACTACAGGGATGGGAAAGAGAGGAGAGAGACTGACAAGTCAGAGTAAGAGGCCAGGTTACTGACTAAAAGTACGTAGTCGAATTTTTCTTAAATCTAAAAACAGTTGTTACAAGGTTCGGTTAGTCTGTGGATTCTCAATCTGCGGTAGATCAGTTCCCGGCGGATTTATAAATTGTATGTTACAGATTGGGAGGGTGATGTAAGAAGATTATCTTTGCTCTCGGTATCGACTGACTGGCAGTATTTTGTCTCAACAGTGGCTACCCCTTCCTTTGTTCCTCATTTACCGCCTCATCGCCGCCTTCTACTTTCTGTCATGGTTGATCTACAGTGGCTTTAGCGATGGTAACTACTGGTTCATTTTCCTTAGTAATTGGGTCCTTACCTTTGTAACCGCTTACTTTTTGCTGGCCATGTTCATTACTACCCACTATTGCTGCGGATCTGGAGTCGAAGATGACCCGGCTGGCTACGGACCTCGTCGTTTCAAGTCGGAAACCTACATCGTGGGATTGTCTTCCGAAGATGAAAACGACACCGAAGACGAAGGGACATCCTATGCCACTAAAGAAGATGATGAAGACGGGCTGAGCTGGCCACAGAAGGTATTGTGGGTACTTTTCGACATAGGAAGTGTTACTTCGCTGGTAGTCACCATTTTCTATTGGTCAACGTTGTACCCTGTAAAAGGTGGAGCAATCGATGGTTTGAACATAAACGAACATATTTTAGCTACCGTTTTTATGCTGATAGAAGTCATATTTAGTAATATTCCCATCCGTCTCCTGCATTTTTTCTATCCTCATGCGGTTTCTTCGATCTACGTGCTTTTCAGCGTGATTTACTGGGGCGCTGGGGGCAAGAATAAGGAAGGCCTGAATTACATATACCAGATCATTGATTACGAAAAAGAACCAGGTCATGCCATTTTTATGGTGTTCTTCTTGTTAATTGTAACGCAAACAATGGTGCATTTGTTCCTCTTCATATTGTTCAGATTTAGGGCGTGGCTTATATCTAAACTCCAATGAACCCAAGTAAAGTATGGTTATCATTGAACTTTAAGAGGACTTGCAAAACGTAAAGAACGTTGTTAAGCTCAGTGAGACGCAAAGTCTGCCATATGTTAAATTGCTAAAAATACAACCACTTTTAAGAGAAGAACTGTCCAGAGAATAATCTCTCGAGAACTGTATAATAAACTCATAAGTCTCTCACCCGAGGAAAATTGATCAAGAAAATGTTGGTCGCATTATTTTCCCTAGAATGAATTCATAAATTCTGCCAAAAGTGGGACGATAAAGTATCTTGCTTACTAGCGGGTTCTCTAAGGTGATATAAAGTTGTTCTTAATCCTTTAAACCCTGAGAGTGATTAGCATCTAATTTCTCCCTACAATATCACTCCTGAATCACACATTAAGGTCATGAGAGTAAAGGAAATGGTCACCAGGGAAGGATCCTTCTGATTGGCAAACAAATTCTCTCCGTCAGCACCTTAGGAAATGTATAGAGAACAGTGTGGAGAATATGCATTCTGATGTTGGGGCGTAAAAGGTTAAGTTAGTGTGCTGCTCCCTTACAAGCACTGTAATAGCTCCCCTGTATCACGGGTCTTAATCAATTTTTGCCGAAAAAAAATTAACCTTGCATGCAAAATCAGTAAGTGGATTAAAAAGGAAATACTCGTTAACTTGTTTTTTTAAACGTTGTCAAGCTTTTTTATCGCTTTTTAGTCAATTAAACATGCATTTTATTCCGAGTAAGAAATTTTCGTAAGCATTTTTTCCCTGTAACACTTTAACTCCCAAGATCTCATTAATAATTCTCCTTACTGTCTGCCATACAGTTATTGTGATGCTTGTTTGGAGAATTTGGTATTGGATCAACTTATAATCCCCTCATTGATATTTTTCTTTATTCTCATCACTTGTGTGGTTGATATTGTATTGATACTGTAAGGAGAAATTCTGTCTTGGTCACTCATGGGAGCTGAAGGGTTAAATATGACACTATATAGTGATAAGAGTAGCATTTTAGCCAACCGCTGTTTGTCTACATTTTCATGCGCTTTTAATTAAGGGAAAAAAAAGTTAAAAAAAAGTAGCTCAGTAAACGTAGGTTTTAAGATAGTTGGGATATGGAAGACCCAAAAGCCAGTTGTTGGAAAAAAAATGCATTTATGGTTAGCCAATTTTCCTTGTTTATGACGAAAGGCCTCATTTTTAAACACAAAATTGGCTAAAAATAGTACAATGTAATGTATCTATCTCAATTTCATTAAAGCATTTATAAACTTCTCACGTGCGACATCGTTCCTCTTCACGCTAATGATATCAGTTATGTAACTGCGGTGGTTACTGATCTGTTTCTGAACAGTTTCGATTATTTTGGCTGTAGTGGGGAAACAGGAAAAACTATCCTCCGATTTTCTTAAAAAGTTCACCGATTCTGGACCTATTAAGTGCCAATGTGCTATGTATGATTAAATCTCTGCGGGGCAGTTGCTAATTTTTTAACACGGCAATTAACATTCAAACAACATAATCAATTATTGCATATTTTGGTGACGTTTACATTTTCAGCTTCAGTGAAAAGAGTCTGAGATAAATAAAATGTAAGTGAGTTTCAAAAAACGCTATCTTATGAGCATCATGAAAAAGAGCTATAGCGCTTTCTACCTGTTGTTTCTCAGGAGAAATAAATCAGCTTGAATGACTACATAACGTTAAGTTGTTACTTCTACCTAAAATCATTCTCTTTCCACCAAAATTCCGTTTCCCAGACAAACCTATTCGAGTATATGAGCAATCATCAATCCTCAAGCAATACACCGAGTCAATTAAGTCTTCTTTGCAAAACGTTTAAGTCGCCTGAATTACAGCAAGCTGAAGTGAATTTGATCATGATCACTTCTAGAAATTTACCATACCTTGATAGCGTTTCGCTGAATTTCTCCACGACTTTTCCATCGGTCACCCCAAAGAAGATGACTACAACCTTATTTCGATAGTTCAGCAGATTACTGAACATTTTGAAGTATCGCATTTCTCTCCATGGGACCATTCTTTAGAAAATCATACTGGGATGTCCGTAAACAAACAATCTGAAAAGCATAATCTGCAAACTGTCAGCGGTAGTACTGCATGTAAAAAAAACTGGTGCCACAGTGAAGATTTGCAACTCTGTTCTGCACTGAGGAGGCATTATTATTTCTCGAGATTGTTCGAATCATCTGAAAATTTATGGACTCAAAAAAGCAAGGGTTGGACTCGTATTCTATAGAGCAGGTGAGTGAAATCATAGTTTTATTCCTTAGTCTTTTACACAATAAAATGAATCATGATCGCGACGATGAGTGTAATTCTCTAGTTGAGATTTATCGTTTTAGATAATAATAAGTGTTCTTAAGGCTTTAAAGCTTTTCCTTCAGATTAGAGCATGCCTATCAAGGCGTATAGATTTAAATTTTTTTGCTGCTGACCGCAATCGCTTGGGAATTTACTAGAAAGGCAGACGCTGAAGAATTGTCTAATAGTTCCCGAGCGCTTATTTAGATTTCGGCCAAAAGGAGGGGCGCTTTTTAGAAGGAGGGCGCTTGATCGAGAGAGGTGCTTATTAAGAAATTAGTGACCGTTACTGAAGCTTAAAAATTTATAAATAAAGTAGCAATAGAAACAAGTGTTTTCTTGTATCCTTGCTTCTTAACAAAGTGAGGGGGGGGGGTATATGTTTCATATTATGGCCGAGGGGGTGGGCGATTATTCGAGGGAGGGCGCTTATCAGAGCGTGGGCATTTATTCGAGGAAATGCGGTGTTTGAGAGGACCGGGCCTACGCGGTGTTGTGCATGCCTGTTACCCAAAGTAACGTATATTAAGATAGTCTGGTGCAATTCAGCCGATTTAAACATAAAAGTGACGATGAACGGTACGGCCAAACGATTCAGGATTGTTCAATTACTCAGGAAGGAAGGTCTGGGATCGGAATTGCGCGGAGCGTAACAGTGTGACTAAATGAACTATCAATTCCTTTGTTTATGTCAGCTGTCAGGGAAAATTGAATGTATAAAGGTAGGGAAGAGTGGTGTCTCTAAATATGCTGGAAACTTTAGCGTGTTACGATTAATGAATTAACACCCCTTATCGTTGCTAAGGCGATAAGAGTGTTGCGCCCCTTAAAAAGAGAAATTTGTGCGTTCTCATGGGCTACCCACATTCCAGAAAAATTTTAATAGGGGTCGAACGTTTTCATTTCCCTGTTTGTTTGATTCTCGTACACCCAATTCTTAAAGCTATAACTTCTTCACCACTTTTTCGTGAAAGCTATAGTCAGCAAAGAAACAAAAGAAAGAAGCAAAATCTGATCAAGCTAAAAATAAAAGGGCCTTCGATGAGGTATTTCCATGAAATAAATGTAGGAATACGTGAATCAAAAATTCGCACTACAAGTTAATCTAACTGGACACCAACGCACTTGTTTCTGTGTCCCATACGGCAGACAAATTTTCAAGATCTTTCTTCAATATTCAATTAGCTCTCTGGCCGAGATTATCCTCATCGGTAGCTCGTGTTTCTTTCCGATTGTTTGTCCATTTGCCATCTCTGACTGGGGCGAACGAAAAAAAAGAAATTCAAATATTTACGAGAAATAGGCAACTGTGACCACGTTTGTGTGAATCTAACACAAGTCGGCTTTGTGAAAGGGGTTTCACCCTCAAGTACAGCTTTTCACATCTCTACGAGAAGTACTAATAACAATGGCCACAGTCTAGATTCTCCCGACTAAGACCGACGTCTTAATACTGCAAAGTTATTATGTTTATTTTGATGAAATCGAACTGCAAACATTATCAAAACAATAAGATTCAGATTCAGTCAGAAAAAAATTCATGCAGCCTTATCATCTCTAAGAAGCATCCAGAAAATAAAGTCGGTTGTGCGAAGTTTGCCATGAGAAAATAAACACATTTCTTTTATAATTAAATCATTTCAAACTAAAAAATGTGTTATTTCCGGATAAGATGAATTCATTTTCACCCTCGTCAGTAAAATGAATGTTCATCACGCAAGAAATACTGATGAGCTTTCAAATTCATTTGACTCACATTTTGTTTGCTATTTTCCTAACAAGTGAAACGCAATTTTTCGATTGTATTTTTTATTAAAAAAGAACGATTTGAGATTAAGCGAGAAGAATCATCTCGAAAAAATTTTTTTTCTTGGTTTGATTCATGGATTGATGTGAGGAAAAAGTCAACAACGTGCACGTGAATCTCTTTTATATCATGTTTTAGTCCTAGAAGATAATCTTTATACGCACAACAACTGGCTTCAATAGCATTCTGCGGAGAATTTCTAACTTTAGTTATTTAAACGGACATAACCTTCAAACAAATCAAAGAAAAGCTGAAAATGAATGAGTATACTTTTCAAGATTTGACTTGAAAATAAATTATTTTAGTACAAAGCCAATGGCTTGAGAATCCACTGTGTTCTCTTCCTAAATTTATGATTAGCATGAGTGGTGAAGATTGTTAACAAAATATGTTTGAGTAACCACATAAGGCTGTTACAGAAGGGTAAAAGTGGGAATGAACGAAAAAATCGTTTTGAATAGGAGATCGTTTAATTGATCCTCTGATCTTGCGTAAAAGGTAAGAATATTAAGTCTGGCTGTACACGGCTGTAATGTGTGCACTGTAAGAGAAAAGTTACTTAACCTTTCGCCACCAGTGAATAAAGGGGGTAAGTTTCTAAAGAAACAGTGGTGCTGCGTCGGTGGGAGAGTGTAACATTCGCTCTGACGAGAAGCTAACGCTCGAAACGTCAGCTCTTAAACTCTTTATAGTGGCCAATTCTCAGTTGATAATACTAAATTACTCTTTCCCCACCAGCTCTCGTGAAAACTTGAGCCAGCGTTTCAGAAATTTATGTGACATACTCAATACAATCCTTTTATGCTTTAAGGCTCGGCATAAACTAACCAGAAAGAGAGTTTGAGCATAAGTATCTCTGAACACTAGAAAATTGCACAATGAAAGCATATCGTCACTCTATAAAAATTTGACCTTGACTAAAAGTGTGATTGCGACAAGGAACCGGTTTGATTCTGCACGCCGCTGTCTCGCAGCTACGTACAACTTTTGCCCTCCAACAATGGAATTTCCATCCACCAGTTTCTGTTTAAGTAAATTTATTAGATTGAGCCTTTTGAATTCACAATATCTATTTCGCCTTGAGAATGAATCTAAACTTCCTTGAAAGTAGATATGAGGCGAGTTGTCTTGTAGTGAATAATTCTTTAAACTCAATTTGATTTATTTTGATCCAGTCAAAGTTAAGCAAGGTTTGATCATATCAGCGGCAAAAACATCTGCAGAAAAACATAAATTTGTTTCACTTAGGTGACCGAAACACCTTTAACTACATCTTCCCATTCAATTCTGATGAGGGAAAAAAAAGGAACTCAAACATTAAACTTGTTCCATTTGGACTGAGTGTTTCTGATCTTTTCATCTCATTGAGAGCTACATTGTCAGTAGTCTTAAATGAAAATGCTGCAGACTCCCAATACCTCAAAACAAATAATTACTTTTAACTCTGGTTCAAAATATTCTAGGCTCGAATTGCCAGAGAGAAGAGACAACGATCCACATGAAACGGCTAATCTCAGTTTTTCGATAACGAGGAGTTTGAGTGAGCCTGTACGATTCGAGAAAACAGAACCAATCTGCGTTCAATATTTTGATAGCTTGGTTCATTTTATCACACGACGAGTTAGGAAAGTTTTTTTTTTATATTATTTGTGAATGTAAATCCCATTAGTGTTCTGATCAGTTATGGTTCGAAGTTTACATGGATGAAAAAAGAAAGCTGAAAGTGGGGAAAAATGGGAATTGGTTTCAAGTAGCTCGCATATTGCTAAATGTAAATAGGAGAAGATGACTCGGAAAGCGTTAAATTTGTAAAATCAATCGGAACTGATTTTTTTCATTGCTTCATGAAGCACTTATCTCATGAAACAACTCGGAAATGTTAAGGTGAGACAGTACATATCGAAACCAATGCCCGACTTCTTCTTATCTGTATTTAATGTTGTGTTTTACGAAGGCATGCACGGACATAATATAGACTTCAAGCTATGACTTGTCATAACAATACCAGCACTTTACATTTACAAACAAAGAGGCTTTGTGTATTTTAAGGATTGTTTACGATAAAATAATATCATCAACTTTTTATCTGCGATATCGTATCATTATCCACGATCTGCTTGGACGACAATGTTTTGTCGCGAGATGCTTGGTTTTGTTTTAACTGTTTGCTGTTTAAGACTGTGACGTCAGACCAGTGACTTCAAATTTGTTTGCAAAAGTCGTTACTGAGGTCAGTCAAACAGTTTACTTTCAAAATACTTGCTATAGCAATATTTTGTTCTTAGTTAGGTAAGATTCTAACGTTAACGGAATTTCTTCGGAGTGAAAGCGATCGGTCTTCTGTTAAGACCATCAGCACAATGGAAGAGCCGCATCGATTTCACTTAAATTATCATATCAAAGAAGAACGCGTCAGTAATATGGAGGTTCAATAAACTGCGTGATTAACAGAAAGCAGTAAATAACATAGGACTCGACTTATTAACCCTTCATTATCATAACAGAGCCTTTAGAAAGTAATATAGTTTAGCAAGTTTCGGTAAACAAAGGTGCCCACAATCATAGGCTGATTAAAGAAAGAATTTTATGATCAAAGTGCCGAAAATACTTCCTTCGGGCTCCTCGGTGGCCGCCTTCCCTTCCATATCAACAAGATAGCCTGACTTAACACAAAGACAGTATAAATGACACTCACCAGCTTGTTCTCTTCTGGCTTATAAATTATTTCGTCTCGCACGTTTTAATGGCTTTGGAGATTGAAGAGTTTTTATTAATCTTTTTCAATCTCGACTTGCTATTGTTTCCCAAATTTACACCACAGTGTTAAAAACAAAGGTCAAATTAATTGAATATGCGCTTGAAAAAGCGCCGCAATGTGCCTGAGTGATGCCGCCTTGAAAAGAAGAGAAATGTAATCAAACCAGAAAACAATGTTCGCGGCAAACGAAGAGAGTCTTCTACTTCTCCTTGGAAGGAACTTTTTAATGCTCTTACTTTTATACTGCATTGTTTTTTGCGTGTTCCAATTTCGTCACTTTTGAGAAAAAAACATCACAGCGAGTTACAAAAATTGTGGTATACATATAAAACACAGAGACAATTTTCGTCCACACTTCTATGCTGTTGTGTCCTTGGAGTCGCATGAAAGTGTGAAAGGAGTCGCGAACTGAACTTTTTTTTCGCTCTCTCACGAGTAGTTAGCGCAAGCACGAAAGTACCATTGGAGAGTCCATGGTCCTTTGAAAAGCCTTTTATAGCAACAACACGCCCCTGTTTTCATTAGTAAGATGTTCCGAAGCGCCGTGGAAAATGAACTTCTCGTTTGGAAGTAATTTCTTTTCTCAAAGGCAGGCGTTAACTTTGCGACATATGCCGCGCAATTTGATTGAATTCACCTGTTCTGTTCAAAACTTTTTCTGAAGTCAAATAACAAAATTAACATTCTGATGGTCCATAGCCGGAAATATATCGTTTTGAACTGGCCGGAGGTAAATAAGTTAATGTATATCTGCCAGATACCGGGAAAACCTGGAAGGGACGAAGATGTTTAATTAAGACGCTGATATTTGAATTTCCCGTCTTGGTTTATTTTATTTAAGCTACAGAGTTATCTTTACAAGTGTAGTACAAGGCATATCAAACCAACATCGCCACTTGAATATCTCAGATATGTAAGCGATATCAGAACACACCGAATTTGTTAAATAACAACTTTCACTTTGATGTGAAGTATGGCCCGCGTTTCTTAATTTTTCATGCATAAACATCAACTGCTTGTATACAAACGCTATTTACAAGACTATAGTTCTAATCATAACGAAGATTTCCTTCAAATAACGTTAATCATCTTTATCTTAATAAATATTTCTCTTGCTTGATTTTACCAACTATATTAATCTTAATCAATAATTTTTCAGGTTTTATGTACATATTCATATTATCGCTTAAACTATTTCCTCTTGGGTTGTTTTCGGATATCGAGACCAGGAAATATCGTGTTAATAATGAGCAAGTTGTGCTTTTGAGCTTAGGGATCTGTGTACTTTAATGTGAGCGATAATTCTTACAATACTGTAAAAAATCTCTGGATTAAATCCTAAAATATAATGATTCCCTTAAAAGCTATCAGCTGCACTTTCTTAAGCTGTTCGTTACGTTTTAAATCTTATTTCCCCGGATTTGTGGCGGTCGGCTTTCAAGGGATGTAAAAAATGTAAGGAAAAAGAGTCATGTAAGTAGAAGTCGTACCTGGCCGGCGAAGGGGTTAGATAAAAATGAGAGCTTTCCGTTATGCTCAGGATAATTTCATCAAAAATCTAAAAACTTACTTATCTGGCCACTTAGTTCCGAGTACTTAAGCAAAATTCTATTTTCATAGAAACACACCAGCATAGATAGACACCCTTGTTCGGAATCCTTCAAAAAATTAAAAGAGGTACAGGTAAATAAATAAACTCAAAATTTTGATTGAGGCTCAAGAGAAAAAAAAATTAATAAACCCGGTTTCATTTCGGATCATTTTCCCTAAAGTTGGGCTTGACTAAATAAAAATATTTCATTTTGAAGTTGTATTTTTTTTAACGATGTAGGAGGAACAGTTTGGGTAAATTAGGACGTTGCCTAATTATATCTAAATCCAACTATAAAAACGCCGGAGGAAATAATTTTCGGAAATGACATGTTTTTGAAGTCATATTCTAAATAACCTATCGTTGGAAGCATTATGCCAAAAACTTTGGCATGTCAGTCAAAAATCAAATAGTTGGTTTTTTCGTTACTCCTTTCAGTTCAGTGCTAGAAGTCTAAATGTCTTCTCATGATGATAAATTTTCTTTCAGAAGCGAGGAAACTGTGAAGAGGAACTATCCTTTTTTTGAAACAAACTGTCGTAGTTTTCCTTTTTAAGCCTTTCTTTTCGAATTATTTACATCTAAATTTCTGAAGTTAATGATTTTTGTTTAGGGAGGAAAAGAAGTCCTTACAGAGTTCAAGCTTGTCCAAGTGTGTTCCATGATGGATGAAGTGAAATCCCTGGCGCCTGAATGCACTTTGATCGATCATTTTCCTTGTGAGTCAAGTCCATATCGAGACTCCCTCTCGAAGTCGTGTTGTAAGACGAATTGCTCATGAACGGGCTTAAGCCGGGATGAAGCTGGTGCGGGCCTGCTGGAGTGTGATGCGAGTGTGCGAGGGACACAGACGGCATGGAAATGTTTTCGAGCGCCGTTGGGCCAGGAAGAAGTAATTGATTAGAATCTGTTGGAAAGTACTGCGGTGCATGAGTTACTAAGAAAGAAGAAAAAACGACAGTTGAATAAAATGAAAGGCTGACGAGATTAGTTCTAAATCAACAAAAGCCGAATCAAAATCTTAATGATTTATCAACCGGTTGAAATGTGTTCCCAATGTTTCACATCGTGTGAGACTAAAATTTCGTCTCCTAGACGCCTCTCTCTTCGCAGCTTTTTTGTCAATAGTTTCCAACGCTTTTAATCTGCAGGCCTGGGAGAGTTTTTAAAGTTTTTGTGCCGAAAGAAAGGATCCCAAAAGAAACCATTTTAGCGCGTCCGTGTTAGATGATTATCGCTGGTTGCCAGAGGTTACAACTTGCGCCAAAAGAAATCTTAATTCCTCTTAATACCTCTTCTTCAAAGTTGCTATTGATGCCACTTTCATGAAATTGCAAGAGAAAGAAAATCTTGGATACTGCGATGCTGAGGCGCATTTAGACTAATAACGCTTCAGTTACATCTCCAACCTTCTTGATTTTACACTTCTAAAAGACACAAAACTCTCATTTCGACGGGTTTTAATATCTTTTGTTCTGCTCTTCTCGTGCTATGTCGCAAATTTTTTCTTTTGATGAACGAACGGCTTTGAAATTTAACTGGACGTTAACCAGAACACGCTCAAAAACGGACAGTCGTTGGTCAAAACAACATAAACAAGAACAGCAGACGTACGGGGAGGTTTGTTTAGCTCGACCTAAACGCCTTTGATGGCTAAGAACGAGTTTAGAAGCAGTATGTGCGCCATTTGGTCGATTGGCCCATTGTGTATAGTGTCCAAGTATATTCTTTTCTCAACAATGAAAAAGCCCAGCTGCGCAAACCGCGCAAGATACAAAGGTTTTAAAACAATTTCAATAACTTTAGTCTCTTCGTGTAACAAACGGATATTACCTGAAGTTATAACAGAATAATGCCAAATTTAGATTTTCCTAGGGAAGCCGTATGAATGGTTAGAGTTTTATTTTCCTGCTAGTGCCTGATGTGCCTACTTTCTTCCTAGCAAATTTCAAAGAAACTTTTCGACTTTTTGTCTTTCAATATTATTTCAGCTTGGGATATATTTTGATTGAAAAAATTAGAATAAGAAGCGGTTTTGAATTTCATTTCTGTTGACACTGAACATTTGACGACCAGGAAAATTGAATAAAATTCCCGTCAAAGTCAGCTCTCAAAACTGACACAAAATTTACATTGCGCCAAGTGTATGTCCGGTTTAGGAAATACCAGCAGCGGGCAGGTATTGAATGAATCACAAAGTAATAAAAAATGAAGGCTGAAAAAGAAATTAAATGGTGCTTTTTACCTTGGGTGGGTAGATCTGTTCTCTTGTGGTAGGGATTAGGATACGGAGAGGGGCGATGCCCTCTTATTCCTAAGCGCTCATATGGCGAGGAAGGAATGTGTGCGTAAGGCCTCGAGTGATGGTGGTGTTGGTATACGGGTGCAGGACCAGCACAAAACCAGCCGTCTGTGAAAAGATAGAAGAAGTAGGAAAACTTAGTATCAACAAATCGAATTAATGAATAACGAAGAAGTTATAAAACAAAAATCACGTCGGAGGTGAAAATATCCGCGCGATAAGGCGTATAGCGTGAAAGATGTGTGAACAGAATCGAGACAAATTTCTCACGTATTCTTGCTTTCTTTTGAGCAACAATGAACTCCTCTAGTAAAATGCACGCTGTTTCGTGGAGGGAAATCGGACCTCCGCGCAACAATTTGAGACGTGGCTTCATTGAAAAGGTGCGAAGTGCGAGCGCAAAATTGAACCAAGTGCCATCCTCTGTGCGATGCTAAATCGAACATTGAAGTGTCGAATACTCGAAAAATTTCTCGTCTCAAAACCACGAGCGTAAACAATTTTCGACAATTTGCTGATACGCGCACATAAGCGCAAGATCGTACTTGACCAAGGACTCTCTAATCGGTAGGACAGTTTGAACGTGCTCTCAAAAAGCAACACACAACATTCGATTTACCAAGTTTCAAGTGTATAATTCACAAACATCTCTTAAGATAACAAATCAATTTGTTGTGAAATAACAAACTCACATTGCGAATACGCCGAATGCGACTCTACAGCTTGCTCCAACGCCTCTTTCTGTTCTTGTCTAAATGAAAAAAAAAATTAGGAATCTTGCGAAAGTTGAAGAAAGTGAAAGATTCAACAGTCCGCTTTCACAAATGACAACTTACCGCTCTTTTGCGTCCAGAAAGGCTTTAGCGAACGGATTGTATTTTATCTTTAGACTAGTGATCTGCTCAAAAATAAGAAAAAAAGAAAGCAATTCTCTTTAGTTTATCATATTTCCTTGGATACTGTTCAAAAAGCGACCCCCAAGGAACGAAATCTAATATTCAGTACAATGCAGTTCACCTCCTCGTTTTGATAAGCCGTCACGGCAATAAACTGCGTCTCTGGAAATGAGTGCGAAACCACTGTCCTGTTGCTTTCTGGAGCACCAACACGAATAATGTGAATTCTCGGCTCGTACTTGTGTAAGGAATTCAACATGATCTGAATTGAAAAAGATAGTAATTCAATAATTGCTCCGTTTTTGTATTGCCAATATGTAAGACAAAACGTGTGTTATTTAACTTCGCGTGTGTTCTTCACGAGTTAATTTCTTTGTAGGCCGAATCAAACACAATCACTTGGTATCTGGACTTTATTGAATTTTATCCACGCAAGTGGTACTAAAAAAAAAGATACTTTTTTTCTTTGTTCGTGATCATATCATTTCAGTCTAGGACACTAAAAGGTAAAATAAAACTCATATCACAGAAAAATATAATAAGCGTACCTGCCCATTGCCATTTTGTTTGTTGGTCAGTTTTACTTTGGAAAAGACCACAGGTTGTTTCATCCAATGTGCGCCAAAGTTTGGTGAATCAGGGTGAATATAAACGCAACTTGGTGTCGGGGGCTCGGGTTTTCCACCCGAGACCCATTCTCCGTTCACATATTTCCAACGATGACCCTCGACGGACACGAAATCGAGCAGGAAGGAGTACATAGCTTTGGGCTCCAGTCCAGTGACGTTTATTTTAAGAACGGGAAACATCCGCCTGAGAATTGAATCATGGTATTAAAATTGTCTCAGAATAACTTTTTAAAAGTTTTTAGGAGTTGCTCACCTTCCATTTTTAGTGACTATCATCTCGTTTGTCAGCGACTTGAATCGCCGCCACAGGTCATTCTCTTCCAGAGAGATCTTGACATTGGTATCTTCACTGGAATCGTCCGTGCTTGCGACGTCTGTCTCTCGTGGTCTTTCACTAGACATTGTGTTCTCAGCAGCTTGAAGGATGTGGTTGACGGAGAATGACGACGGTTGTTTTTTCTCTTCTGAGTGCATAGCGTGTGTTGACTCGTTGTGCTTTTGCTCTCAATGACAGGACGTCCACGCAGCGAGAGGTACTAATAAAACATCACAAGAACAGATGATCGAGCCGAAATGAAATTATTACTCCGTCGATCCAAGCAGCTTCCTAATTAGCCGTCAATGAATAAAAGTCACACCTCGTTCTGATATGTCAGAAAAGTAATTAACCATAGATATTTAAATCGAAGCGCATGGACCAATCAGGAAGCGCGCACTTCGAAAAGTAATTGAAATGCACAAGCAAGGAAATTTAGCAATAAACAGAGGCCGATCGAGCTTGACTCAGTGTAAAGAAACCGACCAATCACGATGCCGCTCAATAAACTCTTCTTTGCTTAGAGCATATTAATAATTATTGGACCGCTCTCAAAGTTAAACATACCGTACAGAGTGTGAAACAATAAGACAGCGAAAGTGACTTTGCACTGGAATAGTTTAACCTCGAGGTCAAATCACTTAAGTTGGATCAGTTAATAGGCCCTGTCACCAGACAGGGCAGATTTATTTTGTGCGTGTCTGGTCTGTTTTGTTGAGAAAACGCGTTTAATGCGATTGTTGTTCTTTGTGGTGCCCCAGATAGCTCCATAATTTATTATCGGCTCCTGCAATAACCTTAATTAAAGGCAATGCTTGAAGTACTTATATTATTAAACCTGACATTCTAACGCTATTTTAGTAACTATATGCCATTCCCTGGCCGAGTTGGTCGGCAATAAGATACGCTGTCTTTTCATGATAAGCAAGTGTAAATTTATAAAATGACTTATATGACGCTTGAGTACCATCTCTAAGTAAAGGTTTGTGACCCCTATTCATGCAATTGTGTTTAACATACGCTGCCCTAATTTTCACTCATTTATAAATGTCAATAACTTTGCGAAGCGCTTGTCGACACTGTTCGCACGGACAATCTGTTTGGGAAACAATCACCTTCAGGTCGTTTAATATAAGGGAGCGAAAAAAGCTGTGATGCAAAGTGCACCGCCTCGAGGTTGCCAAATAATGGCGGCTTCTTCTCTGAAGCGGTAAATTACGATTCGTAATCCACAATAGATCACTTATATTGATCTCCGTTGGTTTTTGTTTATGGTAATTTTTAACACAATGTGTTTATCCGACCGTCGTTTGACAATGAAGGACGATTTGGATGATTTTGAAAAAGGAAAAAAGCCGCCCACGGGAGAGAATACTGGTACTTGATTGAAAATGAAAGCCCAGCAGACAACGAAAACAGGCCGTCTTATAGTAATTATCAGAGCCTTGAAAACCGCGAAAAGTGCATGTTTGGATACGCTAACACGCGTCCGCCTTAGTCTAACCTTTGGAATAATTGAATTAAGATTACTCAACTATATATAAATATCGAAAGAGCAATGCTGAAGGTTATCGAGGACATTCGAGTTTTATCGTTTGTATCACAAAGCATGTCTTACACTCTGCTGCCCTTCCGTTCGGATTAGCGTCGTAAAACCACAGATAAATAGGGATTAGAAAAATCGTTTAGTTTAAGTTATGCAAACAGCATTAGTGATAAGAAAATCTGTAAGACGCTGGCCAACACGAGCGCCAGAAAAGGGCAACATATAGTTTAACGAAGGTGTTGTCTGAGATTCTGAATCATTGATACGTATATGAGAGTTTGAATAATTCACTTTCTGAAATTAAGTGATTATGGAGGCTTTCATTTATATTCTACATATTGAAAATGGTGAAAGTTTGCCTTTCGTCGGAAACATCAAAGAAATACCTGGAATTGATTGCCTGGAAACAATTATCGAATTTAGCGTCAGGGTTTGCAATGAGTTCTCGTAGAAATTTTTTATTCCAATGAATAAAAGGAATATCAATTTTTTTCATGATTACGTATCCAATTAGAAAAGTCCACATTAAAAGTTTTAAGATCTTTTAAATTGTATTCATTGCGAGTTCGTGAAATTGCAAATCCCACCAAAAATTGATTGCTATTTTTTTTCTGGCTGCTTTGCACCTAGCCACCAGAAAATATTCGTCTGATTGCAAGTTTGTTCGTAACATAAGACAACTTACTGCAACTAGTTAGCCCACAGCTAATGTTTTCTTTTTTCTTTTGCGCTTAAACAAAAGGAAGATGGCCAGAAATGGCTAAGAAGTATAAAGAACACTCCGTAGCTCACGCTAGTTGTTTAATTTAAGATCTCTGATCTGAAGGTTTTTTTTATTATCAGAATAGTTTATGAAAAGGGAAACTGAAATGATTTGGAAGGAACAATCAGTAGTAAAAGCAATTTACTACCTTATTTGCAGTTTTCTTTCACACTCGTTCCTCAACTTAAAACAGAAGCATACGCATAACTGCGATGTATTGTTGAGTCAAATTCGTCATGCCTTAACACAATACTCAAGTATCGTGAATACAGATTTAAAATCAATAATCTTTCTGTTCTTCCACCATCAGAATAGTTTATGAAAAGGGATACTGAAGTGATTTAGAAGGAACAATCTGTAGTAAAAGCAATTCACTTCCTTCTTTGCAGTTTTCCTTTTCAAATTCGTTCCTTGACTTTAAAAAGTAGCGTACGCGTCATCTCGATGTATTGTTGAGTTAAACTCGTCATGCCTTAACACGATACGCAGGTCACTCGTACTTATGAAATGTTTTCGAGCGTAAAATCTCAAGGATCAATTGACACCCTAGGAAGTATCAAGTCCCAGGAAAAAAGAAAAAGGTATTTTTTCTTATTTCTAGTTTAGTTATATTAATTTCCAAAAACTCCTAGCGATAAGAGGATTTACATGTGGGGTATCCAGTTGCATTTCCCATTAAAAAAAAAAAAATTGAGAATTTTATACTTTAATTTCTTAGTTTTAAAGTTTTTATTTACAAGAAAATATATATTAAAGTGCAATGTTTATCCACTGTATTACTTTTTTAATATTCTGGATGAAATGAACTAAATAAAATAGTAAACATTTGTAGAAAACACCAACATGTGATTATCAGCGCCGGAGGGGCGTTTTAGAGACAGTTACCTGATCTGTTCTCTTTACTACTTGTTATTACTTGTTTAAAGTTATTGAAAAAGGGACTCACAAATAGCGTAAATTTTACAAATATAATCACAAGAACGTCTCAAAATAAATCTCTCGGTGTAATAATTGGTTTTTGCTTCATTTAACTTGACAAGGAAAATCAAAAGAAAAACAATGTACGAGATCCGTTTCCGGCGACAAAAAGTCCTGGGATCGCAGCCGGCTGTTATCAGGCAAAGTCGTAATTCAATGTTCTTCTGTGTTGGAAAATAGAACATCTTTAAGAAAAGTACAAACAAAGAATAAAAAAAAGAGAAAGCCTTAAAAAGGTGAAATTCCCCCGGCGCCAAAAAGACTGAGTGCTTTGTTCAAACAACCGGAACATTACATCTTTTCCTATTCAAAATGGTTCTTTTTCTTTTTTTAGAGCCTGGATCTTAAAAATTGGAAATAATACATTAGACAATGGCAAATTAGTTATGTTCAGCTCTCTAAACCATTTTCATGTTCAAACCTTTTACCAAATTAACAAGTTTGTCGGATTTTCCAAGGCAACGGAAGAGCAAGATAAGAAGGGCAGTCAGAAGTGCTAATTAAAGGGTTCCATTTTCTAATTTAAGCTTTTTCTCAAAAATAAACTAAGTTTAATAAGTATATTAAATATTGGAAACACTCGTCTAGAAACAAACTGTGGTCGAGAAACATATAGTATTAGTCGCTTTCAATTAGCTTGTCCAAACATCGTTTCTAAGTTTCAAAATTAACCCAAACGTAATACAACTTAACGAGCGGGTTTTTGAAAAGCTTGCTTTTTAATGAGGCTTCTGGCAACATTCACATCAAATTACACCCGACGCGTCCAGAGAATACGCTGGTTGAAGACCTGGCCTATAATGGCGACAAATGACACAGGCATTACAGTTTACCACCGGTAATTACCGGCAGTCAAATAAACAAAGCGTTCGTACTATTAAAAATATTAAAATGGCCAGCAAGAGGGATAGAGTAATTATATCCACTTAGCCATTAGTGTTAAGAGGCCATCTTAAAATCGTAATTCGGAGACGATTTTCCTTCTATAGCCGCAGAAACAAAAAGAATACTTTGTGTTCTCTTTTGGGTACATTTTAATTAAAACTCTTTCAATTTCAAACAAAATTGTTAACAAAGCGCCACGTGCAAAGGACGTAACAAAATCAATCCTTTTCTATGAAAGATTTCACTTATTCGCTTTCAAAAAACTATAATAATAGAAGTATCAGTCGATAATTTCTTTTAAATCAATGCCCTCGATGGACCCTGTTCGAAAACGACATCTTCGTATTAGAGCGTTGTCTATCATACGTTTCGTTTGTTGTTGCCCCAATCAATTTTATAACAATGGTAAATTTGAAACCCGTAGAGGAGTACGAAATCAGTAAAACGCCTTATTTACAGGAAAAGTTAAGCGGATTCATGATGAAAGGACTACATTAGGATAACTAAACCATTTGTATGCTCATTTCATTTGTATGCCAAACTTACCAGGTGAAATTTAACAGTTTAATTTCTTGAACGCAAAAAGAAAATGGAAACTTTTTCGCAGGCATTTGCCTTGCGTTGTGCATCAAAATGCAAATAATATAGCGTTCCCAATTTCGGGTAATGGAACAATTCACCTCACACAATTGCTAGATTTATACGGAATTGAAGGTCATTTTGAGCGGAGACAAGATGTCTGAAAATGCCCAATTTCTTTCGTAATAATCTCTTTCATCGCCTCTACCCGTGGGGGACAAGTTGACAGGGAAACGAAATGTCGGTAAACCCCCCTGAGCGATACTGGAAAGTGCCAAAACGGTCATAAATAAAGAGTAAGAACTTCGTATTCACTTACACCAGGAGCCCAAGTAATGGGCTCCTGCTTACACCTTTTGTACAAACTTCAAACCGCTCTCTGAGTCAACATCATTGGCCTAAAATGT